GCAGCGTTGGTCTTTTAGTTTTCTTTTTGGTTTCGGACTGTTCTTATAGATAGCTCAACCATATTATTGGACTTATCACAATTTGTTTCTCACGTCAAGTCTCTTACTACTGAGGCCGAAAATGGGGTTGTTCTTACTGCAGATGAGAGCTCTATAACCTCCAGATCTGCTAACTTCTTCTTGATCAAATTAGGCTGCCACAGTTAAGCTTGATTAACTAGATCCTCTGTTTTCATTGGTCTCTGCATCGAAAGGATGAAAGGAAAAGTTTCGAGACAGCATACACTTGGGAAATACGCGAGGCCGCCCGAAACTGTCTTTACATTTAAGTGGTGTGGACTCTCAGTGGCACCCTATGATTTCACCATGTTATGCAGACAAGTACAACAAAAACTACCAAAAAAGAGGATACAATCCCATTGAGATTGTGCATTGATTTCCTCAGTGAAGTTTGACATTGTCGATCACGGGCCACAAGAAACTTATTGCGCATTTGAATCTCGTTGAAGCTCATGAATTGCCGATTCCGCAATTCCGAATCAATGATCCTACTTGAACATACAGGTCTAAGTCCCCGAGACACGAGTCCTCAACATCGCCCATCGCAAACTATGAAATACCGTCACGTACCTTAGATTATTCAATGAATGAGCGCGATTATTCAATGAACCTTGCGTTTTTTGTCTAGGGTCGAGACAAGTGACAAGTCAGCATAGGTCTGCCTTTTCTATGGTGAAAATTTTTCCCGTTGCCCAATGCTTGAATATGTTAGGGGGAAGTTTGATATAGTAAAAGTTGATATCAGTTGAATAAGCTTTGAAAGCTTCATCAGAGACATCATGAATAGTGTAAATAGTATGTTCGAAAAGTTTTGTTTTAAGATTCCTGAAAAGTCTCTAAAAGATGGGTTGACATACATATGGAATGAGAATAGTGTTGTTGATCTAGGTTTCGGTATTTGCATTGATTATTTGAGGTATATGGAGAAAATTTTGAAGCCAGTGAGGGTGATAGTTTCGATGTGGGTGTAGGTGAGGGTGCTGGTCAGGGGGTCGGTGAGGGAGCTCGTGCTAATGTTGGTTTATGTAATGAGACGGTGGTTGAGCGATTTAAATCCCGATGACTTAGAAGCAAGGAAGAATGTGACAAAGTTCCGTGGGAGGGTCACAAAGGATCTTATTACAGGGGAACCATTCGTGGGATTCGTAGATAATATAATTAATGCCGAAACTAGTTACGAGATAGAGTGCTACAAAACAGATGGAGATGAGAGTTTGGAGTTGGGAGAAGATGACGATTTTACTAGAAGGTCCAAGATATGATTCTAATTGTATTGTGCTTGTGTTTAATCTATATATGACATTTGATAGTAGTATGCAATTCAAAGATGTTCTAAAAAAAATATTCGGTGTCTAAGCGTAGAGAGATAAATTTATAAAGAATGACAAAAAATTTGTCAGACCAAAATGTGCCCATGAAAGTTATTATTAGAAGATTTATGGATCTGTTGATGTTCATACTGGATCATTTCATGTGAAAACCTACTATTCATAACATACCTATGGCATTAGCTTAGCTTCAAAAATAGGAGGGTGACAAGTTCAAGGTTGACAAATCACTATCTTTCTACAATAAGATCGATGCCAACTATTAAAACTAATGCTTTCAAGGAGCTTATCAAGGAGCAATTAGGCTTAGATGTAAGTATAACTCAGTGCAAAAGAGCTAGGTTGTTTATTTATCAAGTGTTGATAGGAAACTATAAGAAGGAATATCCAAAACTATGGGATTATACAAAAGAGCTTAGGTTAGAAATCCTAGGAGTACTATTATATTGAAGGTTAAAAAGCTTTATATGCAATATAAGGCATTATTTGAGAGAATGTACATCTGTTTTGCTACTTGTAAAAAAGGGTTCCTTGGTGGATTTAGGAAAGGTTTAGATGGTTTCTTCTTGAAGGGAATTTGTCAAGGTCGGGTCTTGTGTGTTGTTGGAAGGGATGCAAACAATTAGATGTTCCCAATTGCTTAGGCAGTTGTCAAAGTTGAGAGTTACGACACCTGGACGTGGTTGTTACCAACTTGGATGTATGATCTCAATATTTTCAGCACATATGAACGAGGTTGGGTCATAATTAGTGACAAATAAAAGGCTAATTTAATTTTTTATTTATTATGCCTCTTAGATAGTCACATATATGCTTTACATTGTAATCATATTTTGCAAGGCCTTGTACAAGTTGTGGTTCAGTTGTTGCTTGTAGCTGAGCATATGATATGTGCGAGACAAATCTACGCTAATTAAGGCAAGAAATATGAGGAAATAGATGCAAAGACCATTTTGATAGTGTGTTAAGAACAGTACTACAACGAAGTATGACGAAAACTCTCAAGCATTGAAGAAAATCAGCCATGGTACATATCATGACTTAGTTCAAACCAAGCCAAAGCACCGATCCAGGGCGTTCTTCACCATTGATGTGAAATGTGACATTTTTTACAACAACTTATGCAAGTCATTCAATGGAAGAATCATACATGCCAGGTGTAAGTCTATTTAGAGTATGTTAGAGGAAATGCGGATATGATAATGACAAGTATGCATACACAGAAGGATGCATGTGCTAGGTGGAGAAGGGACTATGGTCTAAGAACCGTTAGAAAGTTAGAAGAAAATAGAGTTTGTGCGACATGCTGCCATGCAATATAGAATTGTGAGACTAGATATGAGGAAATGGATAAGGGTGAGAACTATGTGGTAGATCTGTTCAAGAGAGACTGCTCTCAAGATGGCAGCTTACTATCATCCCTTGTCCTAATTCCCTTTCTACTATAAATCATATGCATATATGACTATGTTGATGAGTTTTATAAGAAGACCAAGTTCTTAGCTGCATATCAAAACATAATGATGTCAGTTCCAGGAGAGAAATTTTGGAAACAAACTAATATGGAGCCACCTGACCCACTTCCAGCCAAGGTGAAGGCCGACAGACGTAAACAAAAAAGAACAAGGGAGGAAAGTGAGTGGGCAAATGGAGCTAGGATATCAAGGATCGAAATGAAGATGACATGACGAACTTCTTTAAGACGGGACATAACAGTTCAATATGCCCAATTAAGAAGACTGGGTCTACATCATCGCAAACACGATTTTCAAGGCGAAAAATTTCGATTAGTGCATCCATATTTCCATTGTATCATGCTTGCTTCATCCACAAGACTTTACACAAATATATTCTTTGTAGATTCAGAGACGTACAGGCAGTGGTAGCAGTAAACTACCATATTCTACAAGAGCAGTCTCTCTTGAACACATCCACCACGTGGTTCTTGCCCTTGTCCATCACTTCATATCCAATCTCACCATTTTTGATCACATGGCAGTATGTTGCACCAACTCTATTTTTTTCTAAATTTCTTACGATTCTTCAACCACAGCCCTTTCTCCACCTAGTACATGCATCCATCTGTGTATGAATCCTTGTCATTATCATTATCCGTATTTCCTCTAACATACTATTGTAAATGGACTTTTGGACTTTTACCTAGTATGTATGATTCTTCCATTGAATTCTTTGCATAAGTTATTGTCAACAATGTCACATTTCACATCAGTGGTGAAGAACGCCCTTGACTAGTGCTTTAGCCTTGCTTGAACCAAGTCATGATATGGAATATGATATTTTTTCAATGCCTGAGAGTGGTCGTCATACTCCATCATACTACTGCTCTTAGTACACTACCAAAACAGTATTTGCATGTGTATCTCCTTATACTTCTTGCCCCAATTAGCATAGAAGCATCTCGTACGCATCCTATACTTAGCTATAGGCAACAAGTCAACTACACCTTATACAAGGGCCTTACAAAAAATGATTGCAATAGAATATATTACAAGTGTGATTATCTAATAAGCATAACAAATAAAAATTAAATATAGGACTTACCTTTTGTTTGTCACTAATTATGACCCAACCTTGTTCATATATACTGAAAATATTAAGATCATATATCAAATTTGCTAAGAATCACGTTCAAGTGTCGCTACTCTCAACTCTAACAAACACTCAAGCAATTGGGAACATCTAATCGTTGGCATCCCTTCTAAGCACACAAGACCTGACCTTGACAAATTCCCTTTAAGAAACAACCATCTAATCCCATAACTTTTATACATCCACCAAGGAACCCTTTCTTACATGCAGCAAAACAGATGTACTCTTCTCAAACAATGTCTTAGATTGCATATCAGGTTTTTCAACATTCAATGTAATAGTACTTTCTGGATTTCTCCCCCTAAGTTCCTTGTATAATCCCTCCGTATGTGCATCGATTACCGGGCTTTGAACAAGCTTATCATAAAAGAACAAGTAGCCGATCTCCCTCATTGCAGATTTATTCGATCAGCTTGGGGAAGCTCGCTGATTTACCAAGCTTAATCTTTGGTCGGGTTACTACCAAGTACGGATCGCCGAAGGGGACGAGTCGAAGACCGCATGTGTGACACGATACAAGTCATATGAGTTCCTCGTTATGCTATTTGGCTTGACCAATGCGCCGGTCATATTCTGCACCTTAATGAACAAGGTACTTAACCCGTTCCTTGACCGGTTTGTTGTGGTTTATCTTGACGACATTGTTGTCTATAACTGGACGCTAGAAGGAGCACATCAAGCACTTGAGGCGAGTCTTCCAGATCTAGCGTGAGAACGACCTGTTCGTTAAACGCGAGAAATGTGCATTCGCCCAACGGGTGGTACCGTTCTTAGGGCATCTCGTTGGGGATGGACGTGGCCAAGATTCGTACCATTGTCGAATTGGAGCCCTTGACCAAGGTGACTGAGCTGAGGTCGTTTCTCAGCCTCACAAATTACTATTAACACTTTGTTCGGGGATATTCAAGCATCACCATGCCACTTACGGATATGTTGAAGAAAGAAAGGCCCTAGGAGTGGACGGATCGATGTCAAGAAGCGTTCGATCAGTTGAAGCGGGCCATGACCGAGGAGCCAATGCTCGTGCTGCCCGATCATGCCAAGCCATATGAGGAAGAGACTGACACTTTCGATTTTGCGATAGGTGGTGTTCTCATGCAGGATGGACACCCGGTGGCGTTCGAGTCTCGGAAGTTGAATGAGATTGAGCGGCATTATACGGTCCAAGAAAAGGAGATGATTGCGGTGGTACACTGCCTTCGTACGTAGAGGCACTATCTCCCGGGATCGAAGTTCGTCGTGCGGACGGATAACGTGGTTACGAGCTACTTTCATACCCAAAAGAAGCTGAGTTCGAAACAAGTTCGGTGGTAAGACTTCCTGGCCGAGTTTAACTACATGTTGGAGTATAAACCAGGAAAGGCCAATTCAATGGCCAATGTTTTGAACCAGAGGTCGGAGTTGGCCAGCATCATAAGTTGACCTAGCTGCCCATGGATCAACCGTATCAAGGAAAGACTCAAGCATGATCCAACGGCCCGGCAACTCCTTGAGTACGAGCGAGAAGGCAAAACCAGGCAATTCTGGTGGGAGGGCAAACTCCTCTACACCAAGGGACGGCAACTATATGTGTCGCTCTACGGAAAACTAAGGAAGGAAGTGCTGTAAAAGTGCCACGATTCCAAATGGCGCTCGTTGAGGACCAATACTACGGGCCTCACATGCAGGACGACGTTGACGTGTATGTCAAAACATGTCTCGTGAGTCAATAGGATCAGATCGAACAACGTTCGCCGTTGGGTCTCCTCGAGCCACTTCCCGTCCCGGAATGTCCATGGGAGAGTGTCTCCATAGATTTCATTGTGAATTTACCCAAGTACGAAGGATGTCGAACCCTCATGGTCGTAGTGGACCGATTCTCTAAATACGCGACATTCGTGCCCGCAACAAAGGATTGTCCAACCGAGGAGGCGGCCAAGCTATTCGTCAAGCACGTTGTTAACTATTGGGAAGTCCCACGGACGATCGTGAGTGATCGCGATCCTCGGTTCACCGGGAGGTTTTGGACCGAGCTCTTCAAGTTATTGGGGTCGAATCTCAACTTATCCATGAATTTGCATCCTCAAACCGATGGACAGACAGAGAGGGTGAATGCACTTATCAAAATATACCTCCGGCACTATGTGAGCACAACGCAAGCAAATTAGGCGAGACTAATTGATGTGGCTTAGTTTTCGTACAACTTACAGCGGAGCGAGTCCACAAACCAAAGCCCGTTTGAGATCGTGACGGGGCAGCAACCGCTCACTCCAAACACGGTTGCCTCGGGCTATCGGGGGAATAGCCCATCCAGGTCTCCAAGGAGTGGCATGAGCAAGCAGACTTGGCGCAGGCGTGCCTACACAAGGCCTCCAAACGCATGAAGAAATGGGCCGACAAGAAGCGACGGCACATGGAATTCCAGGTCGGGGACCTAGTTTTGGCCAAGCGACACGAGGTCCTCTGATACAGGGACGTGCACAAAGGCTTGATCTGTCGCTACGAGGGGCCTTTTTGAGTGATCAAACGGGTTGGAAAGGTCGCATACAAGCTAGACTTGCCCCCGCTGCGATTCCCCTCGGTCCGGGTCTTCCTCATGGTTGATCAGATCATACGAAAGAAGTATTGGGCGCCGAGGCGAGAATATTTGGTCTGATGGAGAGGTCTTCTGGAGAGTGAAGGAAGCTGGGAACTCTCCGAAGCTCTTTGGCAGTTCTGGAAGCATATTGACACATTTCATGCCGAAGACGCGACGAGGGCGCCGCCCGATTAGGTGAGGGAGAATGACATGGCGCAAGAGAGCGAAGGCCTCCGAGCCCATCCGTGAACGAGACGTTGCCCCTTTCGTGCATGGGAAGTGGCTCATCCGTGACTAGGCGCGACCACCGTCCGCGACCCTTCAGTTGCCTCTGACAAACGACCCTGTAGCTTTCCTTGGCAGGCGTCCCTTGAGCTTCCCCACACCCTTAAGGCCTTTGGAACTTCTTGAGTAGCTATGTAATGATTGTATTGGTTCAAACACCACGTTGGATCATGAGGGGGTTAACGGATCAGATTAGACCCGCACTTGTATATATAGGGGACCCTCCCCCTTCATTTGTACATGCTCATTTGTAAGGAAATACTACTACGCTTCTCTCTATTATTGTAAATCGAATGTGTGGGTGTGCAAGGCTAACTTGGGAGTGATCCTAAGACCGCACGGGTGTGGGATCGTTGTGAATCGATCGACCCGTGATACAATGATAAAATGCCAATGCACTACGAGTAAAAGGCAAGGATAAATGGTCTAGAAAATTCCATCCTCGACCAACTACAAAGTTTGTTTATAATCATACAAATAGTGTTCAAGTACGAAACATTCGTTTTTCAAACAAGCCAGACATTTCAAAATCATTAATTTGAAAATTACTATGAGAACAAAAAATGTTAGATTATATTGATAGAAAAAAATTATTTTGCAAAGTGTTTTTGGGAAAATCGCAAAAGTATAACATCTGGAATAAAAAAATCATAAAGTCTTGTTAGAGACCCTAGGATTTAAGACAAGCCAGACATTTCAAAATCATTACTGTGAAAATTACTATGAGAACAAAAAATGTTAGATTATATCGATAGAAACAAAATATTTTGCAAAGTGTTTTTGGGAAAATCGCAAAAGTTTAACATCTGGAATAAAAAAAATCATAAAGCCTTGTTAGAGACCCTAGGATTTAAGAGAAACAGGTTGTCGCAGATATTTATCGTAAACGACTGAGAAAATTCAAGAAAGCGAAATATTATTGGATGGAAAAGGATATCTTGTAAAGTGCTGCTGAGAAAAGCACAGTAAGGATAACACTCACGAAGAAAAATCATCATAGAGGTTTCAAGAGAAACGGTTTATTGCAGACAATCTATCCAAGATGACTGAAAATATTTAAGAAAAGCATGAAAAGTTCTGATTTTTGGGACAATAAGTTCAAAAATTTGGAAGATGGTATTCCGTAAACCGGTACGATAAAAAAAAAAGTCAGACATCATGGATAAAAAAAGCCATCCCCGTTGTTTAAAATTAGACTGTGTTTCTCTTTAATCATTTCAGCAAGTGCATCTCTGGGTACAGTATCAGCTATATAAGTATAACAGATCTCGAAGCAGGAATGTTGTGGAAGATTTGCTAGCAACCCAATTTAGAAAACGATTATTTGCCGGAAGCACATCTGTGTCTAATTATAGCGCAATCTTTTTGGGCAAGAAAATTAATGAACAAAGCACAAGCGCAAAGTCCTCACCAAAAGCCAGAAATAGTACGAAGATTTGAAAGCATATGAAACTCACGGCATCATCGTCAAGCAACGACACCCGTTCACACAATCCTAAAAAAAAAAAGATTCAAGAAATGTGCGAGAAGATTGCAACTGCAGAACGCCCAACAAAACCAGAACAGGAGAAACGACAAGTCAAAAAATTTCAAGGAAACGTCATCGTCATCCACGAAAACGAGAAGCATCCAGGGAGAGACTGAATTTCCAGGTACTCACAGAATGAAGCGCCCCTCGACATCCATCTAGCAATACCCTGGAATCTTCATCCCACGAGCCATCGCTCAGCCGCGCTTCAAGCCCACTGACCGCAGTCGCCTTCCTCTCTCTATGGGTATACCATCAAAGATGATCCGCCGCATGCAGAGCCGAATCTGGCTCCGTGGGCCGCTCGTTCGACCGTGTTGGAACTCGAGAGAGAGAGAGAGAGAGAGAGAGAGAGAGGGGTGGGGGGAGTGAGAAGTGGAAGATGAAAGCACGGACGAAGATGAAGAAGACGAGAGGACAGGAGGAGGAGGTGGTGGTCTGAGAGATGAAGTGACGTGAGTCTGTCAAGGCGTGAGGATTCAAAATCTTTGTGACCGTTGGATCAGGGAGAGACGGGAGGGTTAAGAAGGTAACTTCATGCGAACGCCACCTCAATTATATTAATTAATTTATATATTGACTCTGACCCAAAAAAATTGATATATCGATTAATTGCGTAAAAAAATTGCACTTCAAGTTTACGCAACTAACTTAGACCTCCAATGTATTCATAAATTATGTTTATCAAGGAGCTTGAAAAAGAAAAACATTGAAGCAGTCTATAGAGATGATGGTATTTTTATCTCTTTACACTTTTAATCACCAAAAATTATGGAAATCATTCCGCAATCAACTCGCCTTCAAGAGTTATAAAAATCAATACTCTTGATATCTCTCCAAAAATCGCAATACTCTCGAATCCCGCTATATCACGTTTGCCTCCTTAAATGAATTAAGTTGTTCTCTAACTTGCAAAACATCAACCTGAAAATTCCTGAAGGGAAATTGACTCGACGTTATTAGCTTATGAGAACGCGAACGGATCTCCCATCTCCGAAGACCCAAACCCTCTAACCAACATATCAATATCTTTGGAAAAGCAACGAAGCAATAGGTCTCAACAGGTACTAGTATTTCGACTGGCACGCTCTCATAGTTGAAAAACACTCGGACACTTTTTAGTAAGGCATTTCGGCTGAATTATGTCTTATTTTGCCAGTGCTTTGTGGTTTGTAAATTTTTTACAACTGATAAAATTAATAGTTCGTAAAAACCACTCAGCTGGATCAAAATCATTTATAGACAAGATATCAGAAGCACCACAGAAAGCATTGCATCAAGCCATAGGAACTTGATTGATTTTTCAAACAACACTACAAAAAAACAAGGATTTTGCCACGGAATTTAGCGACGGAAAATTTTTCGTCGCTAATTTGCGACAAAATTTGCAACGAAAAATAAATCCGTCGCAAATTAGCAACGGAAAGTTTTCGTCGCTAATTTGCGACGGAATTTGCCACGAAATAAAAATTCGTCGCAAATTAGCAACGGAAAATAAATCCGTCGCAAAAATAGCGACGGAATTTGCGACGGAAAATTAGTCGTCGCAAATTAGCGACGGAAAATAAATCCGTCGCAAATTTGCGACGGAAAATAAATCCGTCGGAAATTCCGTGGCAAATTTGCGACGGATTTATATTCCGTCGCAAATTAGCTACGGAATTAGCGACGGATTTATTTTCCGTCTCAAATTTGCGACGGAAAATAAATCCGTCACAAATTTGCGACGGATTCGTCGCAAATTCGTTTAGCGATGAATTTTGCCAAATTTTTCGTCGCAAAATTCGTCGCTAAAACCTTATTTTTATTTAGTGTTCTAAAACTAAACCTAAGTTCTTCTAAGTCTAATCACGATGATTACCATGTCTCAATCTCTCGTGATAAGGACGAGGACTACGTAAGGAATATACTCCATCACAAGACAAACTAAATATTGCCTAATGAAATCAATCTAATGCAAACTAACAATTATTAATTGAAATTCAAACTAAATTGGATGATTGTCACAACTTCAAATTCAAAAGAGATTGGACGATTTGCTACACGTCCAATTCTAAGAGATATTAGATATTACAAATTCAAATTAGATAAGAAGATCTATTATAAACTCAAGATATTAGATAATCTCTTAAAATGTTCTCGTCCCAAATAAGCTTTTTTAGATTCGATAGATGCAAATCTTATCTTATTTTTTTTCAAGACTTAGATATAGATAACACAGACATCTATTTAGTTGAATATGGTGATTTCCTCCGCACGTAGCTCTTATGTATGCGTAAATATATGGGTAAATAAATTATAGCAATTTTCAAATAGATCGGAATCGGGTGGATGTATGAAATGTAAAGTCAATATATTTATATAGGGATATCTATAGGAGATCATATAAAAGAGATATTCTTATTTAGACTTAACCAATTTGATCTAACCAATTAGATTAATTACTCCTAAAGGGTTACATCTGAATGATGAGTGAATAGAGGACATGCATTCTATTAGAGAAATATTTAGAAGATTCCATATATTTCCTTTAATTGATTGTAATTGATATTTTCCCTTTTAGATAGTCATCCTATAAAACCGATAAATAGGTTCGTGTACTCTTCATTTGACAATGATATATATATTGCTCTTAATTTTTTTTATCACATTCTTGACTTGGTATCAGAGCCCTATTATTATTTGAGAAAGCGTCAATCGAGTCTGTTTGTAACAACGATATCCACATCAGTCATGTTTCTCCACAGTGTTAGTAATGCTAGTCACATCGGCCCATTTCGCAACAACCTCCCGTAGTTGTTTGACATTCCTTCGCTGCTCTAATGAAAAAAAAAAAACATCACCAGACTTGCCACCCTTAGACGAATTAGATCATGACATTTACTAATTCGTCAAATACGAGTAATGTGTCATTGTATGTAAAAGTGTAGAAGCATATCTACTCAAGATTCCGACGGAATTAGCGACGGATTCGAAAAATTGGTCGGTATAAACATTTCCATCGCTAATTCCGTTGCAAATCAGCGACGGAAAAATAAATCCGTCGCAAATTAGCGACGGAAAAATAAATCCGTCTCAAATTTGCGACGGAAAATAAATCCGTCGCAAATTTGCAACGGATTTTGCGACGGATTGGAAAATGCCCTTTATTTTTGGAATCTGTCGCAAATTTGCGACGGATTTGACCAAAAAAACAGGAAAAATTCCTGCCCATAAAAAAAAAAATTCCCGCCCATCCTTCCTCCCGTTCTCTCTCTCCCTTTTTCTTTTTCTTTTTCTTGTCTTCTTCGCCCTTTTGCGATGGAGGATTACGGAGGCCAGAGCCATTACGAGGAAGACAACCCGTTCGCCTTCTTCGCCCATTTTAAGAAGTTTGAATTCTTCTGTCTTAGGGGAATGTCTAGAAGTCCCATGAAGTGGATAATAGGAAGTAACCAAATCATCTTCGGTCCTCATTGTAGATTTCAATTTGTGCTTGCGCACTGTCCTTTCCAGAGTAGTGAAATGTCGATGATTATTCTTGGCTGCCCTGAGAGATCCTTATCTTCCGATGTGTCTCGCCAACTTCTCATCACTTGATTTGTGATCTATATAGTTTTGATAATCGGCATAATCCCTGTCTATGTCCTCTTATCCTATAATTAAATTCGACAAGTAATTACATGAATTACTGTCTTTTTTTGATTTGATTTTGATGCTAAGGAGATCTTCTGCTCATCTATTTGGATACTTTCCCGTCTTCTGTTCCTCGCTGAATGCATACCTCTGGCTTCAGCAACGGCGTCACTCCTCAAACATGGCATGCACACGTCAGTAATAACCTATAATTGCAAGGGCTAGTACTTGTGCACCTAAACATGTTTCAAGATTGAGACGGGGGTTATAGGTGCATTAGGAGTGGATGCAGCATTGAACAGGATATTTAATCATGAAAAACGTAAACATGTTTTTAGTATTGCCAAGTTGTAATGTTGACCATGCCATCTGTTCAAATATAGATAAGTACCAATACACTGTTCAACCTTGTAGCATTTTGTGTATTTTTTTTTCAGACAGATTCACTAATTATTTTAGCAAGTATGGAGAAATTGCTGACTCTGTGATTATGATGGACAAGTATTCTGGAAGGCCTCGAGGTTTTGAATTTGTCACATTTGCTGATTCATCAGTTTTTTTTTTTTTGCTAAATCGAACCTTCCATTGCATCAGAAAAGTACAATATTACACAGAAGAGTTAGAGCCTACATCAACACGATAAATTAATGTAGGCTCTAACTCTTCTGTGTAATATTCATCAGTTGCTGATAAGGTTTTAGAGGAATGCCACGTCATAGACGGTAGAGAGGTAATATTCTCTGTCCCAGTCAATTTTTCTACTGCGCAAAACAACTTCCTTGTCATGTTAGAGCTTTCTTGGATGTTGTATCATGTCAGGTAGAAGTGAAGAGAACGATCCCCCGGGAGGATATGGAAGGAAAATCGGCGTTAAGGACAAAAAAAATCTTTGTCGGTGGACTCCCAGCATTCCTAAGCGAAGGTGGCATATCCCGCATTTGATTTTGTCTCTCTGAGACACGAGAATTTATCAGTTGACACCATGCTTTACTATTGCAGATGAGTTGAAGGAGTACTTCTCTTTCTATGGTGGCATAGTTGAGCATCAGATAATGCTAGACCACACGACTGGACGGTCTAGAGGCTTTGGGTTTGTCACATTTGCTGAAGAAGATGCTGTTGAAAGGATAATATCAGAAGGCAAAGTACATGAACTTGGAGGGAAACAGGTGAGTTATAATTCCTAACTGGGAGGAAACTTCCTCCTCCTGTTCATCGGAGATGAGCAGCTTCTGACGTGGCTCCGACCATAATGCTTAGGTTGAAATTAAGAAGGCTGAACCAAAAAGGGGAGGTAGTGACTACAGTGGAAGCCAATCCAAATTCAGAGGCAGTTTCAACAACAGTGCGGGTGGTTACGCTAAAGAATATTATCCAGGATATGGGTTTGGTGGGAAAGTAGGCAGAAATTTCGGCGGTGGTTATGGAGGTTTTGACAGTTATGGAATGGAAGTTATATTGGAAGCTACGGTGGAAGCTGGGCTGCATTCTATGGTGGATATGGTTATGGCTATGGTTTTGGGGGCCCAATGTATGGTGGCGGTGCTTTTGGAGGCAGCAGCAGCTATGGTGGCCTAAACCTAGTGGATATGGGAAAATTGTCAAATCAGTCCTAAACCTATTGTACGGCGGCCAATTCAGTCCTAAACCTTTGAAATTCTTGCCAATTCAGTCCTTCCGGTCAACGCTGACGTGGCAAATTTTAATTATTTTTTTAATTTTTTAATCTTTTTTTTTCTTTTTCTTCTTCTTTTTTTCTGCTTTCTCCCCTCTGGCCGGTCCGGCGACCGGCCAGAGGGGAGGGCCGGTGAGGCCTCTGGCGAAGCTCGCCCCGCCGGCCACCCTCGCCGGCCCTTGGCTGGGTGAGGGGCGAGGCGAGGCTCGAGCCTCGCCGTTGCCTGGATCGCGACGGCAAGGTCGAGCCTCGCCAGATCTGGGCGAGGCTCGACCTCACCGTCGCGACCCAAGCGACGGCGAGGCTCGACCTCAACTCGCCTCGCCGTCGCGATGGTGATCGCGACCCAGGCGATGACGAGGCTCGACCTCGCCTCGCCCAGCCAAGGGCCGGCGAGGCTTGCCCTTGCCCTCGCAGGTGGCCGGCGGGGCGAGCTTCGCCAGAGGCCTCGCCGGCCTTCCCCTCTGGCCGGTCCGGCCAGAGGGGAGAAAGCAGAAAAAAAAAAAAAGATTAAAAAATTGAAAAAAAAATAATTAAAATTTGCCACGTCAGCGTTGACCGGATAGCCGGCGGCCACATCAGCGCCGGCCGGCCAAAATTGACCGGAAGGACTCAATTGGCAAGAATTTCAAAGGTTTAGGACTGAATTGGCAAACTTAAAAGGTTTAGGACTGAATTGGCCGCCGTACAATAAATTTGGGAAAGTAGGCAGAAATTTCGGCGGGGGTTATGGAGGTTTTGACAGTCATGGAGGCTATGGAAGTTATATTGGAAGCTATGGTGGAAGCTCGGCTGCATTCTATGGTGGATATGGTTATGGCTATGGTTTTGGGGGCGCAATGTATGGTGGCGGCGCTTATGGAGGCAGCAGCAGCTATGGTGCCCCTAGTGGTTATGGCGTGAGTGGTTTTTATGCTGGTAATAAAGGCTATGGAAGAGGCGATGCCCGCTCGTGGCCTAGCCGCCTAGGCCGTCGCCCGTCGCCCGTCGCCACGCCCCGCTCGCCCGGCCACTTGCCCTGCCGTGGCCGAGCACCTAGCCCGTGGTCGAGGGCCGTGCCGACGACCGTGCCGAGGCCTCGCTCATTGGCCGACCGCCGCGCCGAGCCCGTTGGAGCTACAGTTACTCCATTATTTAATCAATGTTAAATATAAATTCTAGAAATTAATTTTGCTTTTAATTAGATTTAAAATCCAAATCGTCCGTAAACAATATTCGTCGCACACTTTGTCGCTAAAGAATTAATAAAAAATCATCACTAAATCCGTTCCGGACCAACGTCTGTGGCAAAAGTCAAAATTTGGAATGTCAAATTAGTGACGAATTTCACCACGGATCAGTTGGTCGCAAATAATGACCAAAAAAAAAATTCATCAAAAATTAGCAACGAATTTTGCCACGAATACATTTCGTCGCAATTTTTAGACCAAAAAAAAAAACATTTCGTCGCAATTTAGAGACCAAAAAAAAATTTCGTGGCACATTAGCGACGAATACACTTCGTGGCTAATTTGCGACGAATACAGTTCGTGGCTAATTTGCGACGAATTTTGCGACGGACAATTAGCGACGAATACAGTTCGTGGCTAATTTGCGACGAATTTTGCTACGAATAAAGTTCATGGCTAATTTGCGACAAATTTTTTGCGACGAATTTTGTGACGAATTTTTTTTTGTCACAAATTAGCGACGGAAATTGACATTTTCCGTCGCTAAATTTTGCGACGCCGAATTAGCGACGGATTTTTTTCTGTCGCAAAATTCGTCGCTAAAACCTTGTTTTTTTGTAGTGCAAGTCAAGACATTTTGAAAAGGGTACTTTGGAAAGAACAAAAAAAAAAGTTAGACAGTATGGATAGAAAACAAGATTTTGCAAAGAGCCTTTCAAAAATGGTGTCCCAAAAATCTTTACGACAGAACTTGATATTCAAATAAGACATTCTTCAAAAAAAATTAACATTCTAACATCTTTCTTTGAAAAAAGAGAGATTCTGAAATCCCACTGATTTAAAAGAAATTACCAAATAGGTTAAACAAACTCATCAAATTATGCTCGTGATATGCATAAAGTTCTTTAAAACACATTTATGTCCCAAAGATGTTTAAAAGTAAACAATATCGGTATAAGGAAGAAAAGTTTCATCATTTACAAAATTTGGAATCGACTTGGGCAAAAGAATAATTGCTTTCAAAATTCAGTAGAAAAGTATGACCCAAGATATTTTAGAAGCAAAATGGAACTTCCCAACACTGCTGCGAAAAAAGGTTTATAAATCCACAACGATATGCCAAGTTTGTTTTAAATCATCAAACATCCCGGATTTCAAATAACAAGTCCGACATTTTGAAAAGGATACTCTGGAATGGAAAGAACAAAAAAAGTTAAATTGTGTGGATAGAAAGTGAAATTATGCAAAAAGCCTTCGCAAAATAGTATAATAAGTTAACAAGATAAACCAATAGATTGTTTTGTTTTACGAGGTCAACGCTCTCCGTAGTGGAGCTCCTTCCCTATCCCAATGGTGATAGTCCTCCTTCAAACCCTAACTGGTCATTCCCCCTTTCAACACCGCTTATCTCCAAGTCACTTGGGAGTAATCCCATTCGCTCCTCTCCCCCATTACTCCTGTCCGTAAAAATCTACTCTTAGTCATGCCCTAATCAAGCTCCCCCTCCCCGTTGTAAACGCTTTCCTTTGAGGCGTGGAAAGCTCTGACCTGGGACCTGCCTCCTTGCTTTCGGTAGGTTTCCACTCCAAGCAGTAGGACCACGGTGAATTCAGGATCGGCGAGCCCCCCCCCCCCCCTTCCTGTATAGTCAACCACCCATCTTTCATTTCTGCTTCCCCTGTAAGTTGTGTCCCTCACCGATCGCGACCCCCAGGGTCCCGGTCATCCCCATCCTTCCTTTCCACCTCCCATCCCTTTCTCTATTTAGGAAAGGGAAGCGTTCTCAACTCAGGGGGAGGAATAGCGCTTTCTCAACATTTTCAGTTCTGAAACAGAAGATGCAGGAGCCAGCGCCTAAAGCTGGTCAATCACAAGTCCAGTTAAGTTTTGGCATTCAGGGTAACCCAAAGCACTTTCGTGCCGCTACCTCTAGAAGTGTAGCTTAGTCTTGCTCAAAGGAATGGGGATCGTTCTGGCGTTCTGACGGCTAGTGCCTCTCTCAGAACAGGTGAGGGTAGTACACCTTCTCCAGAATCTATGGAAAAGGAAGATGATAATGTAGCTCGGGTGGCTGCCCTGTGTAGAGAACTGGGTGATCTTTGGTCAGTAGACGACCTTGTGCTGATAAAAGGCGACATCCCTGTAGAAAAACAAAAAGAATGCGCATTAACTTTGTATGGGAAATTGTACTCGAAGCCAAATGTCAATTTTCAAGCTTTCCTTAACACAATGAAGAGATCATGGAAAACGGAACAAATAGAATGTGAGCTCATTGAACCGGGATTCTTCTCCTTTTCCTTTACATCTTTAGAGGAAAAACAGAGAATTTTGGATTCAGGCCCTTGGTCCTTTTCGAGTAACTTACTTGTCCTCCAACAAGGTCATCCGGATACCCCCGACCATTGCTACGAATTCACGCACTGCGCCTTTTGGGTTCAACTAGCAGGTATACCCCGAGGGAGGTTAACAGAAGACGTGGCTCGGGAAGTGGCAAGGAAAATCGGCGAAGTGTTAGAAGTGAAACTAGAAGCAAGAGGAGGAGGCCCTAATAAAAGCTGTAAAGCACGAGTTCTTTTGAATCTGGCCAACCCATTAAAGACAGGCACCTTAGTAGATCTGGAACATAAGAAAATTTGGGTGGATTTTAGATACGAGAGACTCCCGCACTTCTGCTACTCGTGCGAGAGGATAGGGCACTATGCGTCCTACTGCAAGGAAGTTCCCTTTGAAGAATCAGGCCTCAATGAAAACAGTAGGGGTAAATTTGGGCAATGGTTGAGAGCGGAAGTACGAGAACCTAGCCCTTTTTGGAAGATCTTCTACGGCAAGAATATCCCTATCCCTGAAGTAGACGAGATAGTTCCGGAAACTCAAAGGGATCTCATCCCTAGAGAGCTTGCACTATCTACATCAAAAGGCAAGGCTGTTTTTGGGCGGATTGAAGACATACCTAGGGAGGAGGGTTTGAATAAGGGAATCCGACCTGCTGGATTGTCTGAAGAAAATCAGATTGATTGCACAAACCAAGATTCCCAGTTGTTCATGTCAGAATCGACGAAGAAGGGTGGAATTTCGAAACACCCTGGAAAGGTGAAGAAAGGAATGAAATCTTTTAAGAAAGTGGCAGCTTCAAGGAAAGAGAAAAGAATCAACCCGCAAGGATTATGTCAGATCCTCTACCCCTCCATTAATGAGGAGACACTCCTCGATGCTCCAATCAAGGTGGTCGATGGAAGAAATGACTGGGCTCTGGTGGCTAGCCCTAATAAGCCACCGGGGATTATATGAAACTTTTGAGCTGGAACTGTCAGGGGCTGGGCAATCCCCTGACAGTCCAGCATTTCAGAGCTTTAGTGGCTCAAGAAAGGCCTGATTTAGTCTTCCTGATGGAAACTAAAAACAAGAGAACAGTTGTTGACAAAGTGAAGAGGAGAACCAATTTCCAAAATATAGAAATTATCGATCCCGTAGGAATTGCAGGGGGTCTGGCAGTGATGTGGAACGAAGAGGTATCGGTGATTGTGGAAGATTCATCTAGAGAAGTAATTAACTTGCTATGCAGGGATCAAGAAAGTGGAACTCTCATGCGTATCACCTTTCTGTATGCCCCCACAAGCTTCCAGGATAGGCTCAGGCTGTGGAGCCATTTGCAGATGATAAGTGCAGCTAATCAACTCCCTTGGATATGTGTGGGGGACTTTAATGAGATCTTGTACCATTGGGAAAAATCTGGG